GATGTAGACAAACCAGGAAAGCTCTCTCCATGGCAAGGAGCCATGCACAGCTCCCTATTCTTCCAACAAACTGCTTAAACAACTAATAGCTTCAAAAGGTGCTCCCATGAGTGCTCACCCGCTTTCTGCTCATTCAGAACCATCCATTTAGAATGTATCTAAGGTCTTTTTGCTCTGCTTCCATCATGCTGCTAAAGGAGTGGTGATAAAAATTAATAGCATGACAACCAGCTGTGTTTGATGACTGCCACTAAAGCTGGACAGGGAGAAAGTTATATTTGGATTTCAGCCCACTTGTTTTAATTGGGCTTCCAAGGTACTTTTCACTTGTATATGTACCTGCGAGCTTTCACCTGAAGTAAATGTTTCTATTAGTCATTAGAATCATAGAATCATAGAATCATAGAATCATAGAATGGCCTGGGTTGAAAAGGACCACAATGCTCATCTACTTTCAACCCTCTGCTATGTGCAGGGTTGCCAACCATCAGACCAGGCTGCCCAGAGCCACATCCAGCCTGGCCTTGAATGCCTCCAGGGATGGGGCATCCACAGCCTCCTTGGGCAACCTGTTCCAGTGCATCACCACCCTCTGTGTGAAAATGGATGCATTGCAGCTGGTGACTGATCTGTGGTGTGAGCTGCATGGCTGGGGAAATGGACTGAGATGTGCACACCCGGAGCATGGCTGTCAGCAATGAGTGCTGAGGGCTCAGGTTCAGTGTAATTTCCAATGTGTTTTAGATAGAAGGGGGAAAAGAGGAGGAAGGAGAGGCCCAGAGTGGTGTGGATGGAGGGGAGTAGCTCAGTGTAGTTTTACGTGTGGGACTTCAGGTCAGGGCTGGTCTGAAGGAGAGATGGGGCAGTGCTGAGTTTGGTTGGGCATGAAGCTCTTTGCCATTCTGAAGTAATGCAGACACACAAAAATAAAATCCTAAGTGCTGCCCTGACTCATGCTGGCTGTAGAGCTGCTTTCATGATTATCACGTTGAAAACTTTCATGTTTCAAGGTGCAAATGAAGCAGATAAATGGAGTCTTCCATCTCCTTCAAATGGAAAAAAAGAATGACAGCCATCATCACCAAAAACCTGGTGTGCTCTGACCAGCAAAAGGGATTTTTGCTGTTCTTCATTCATGGAAGAGGTCTCTTTGCCCGTCTCAGTGATCCCTCAGGCCAACAGCTCTGTGCATCTAGCAGGGGCTGCTTCACCTCTCTGTGCTCATCCTGTGGAGCAAACAAGGCTGGATGAATGCTAGCAGAGGCGAGGCAGCTTTCTTCATCTGCTGCTTCTCTGCCTTGCTTGCCCAGAGCACTTCACAATTATAGAACTCAGACACTTAAAATAACATCTGGGTAAGGAAACAAAACAAAGTGTAACTTGCAGTTCACAACCAGCTCCCCAGAAAAGAAAGGAGATTAACAGGTAATGACTCGCCTAAAGAAATCCATCTGTTTAATCGCCTTGAAACCTCAGACAGGCAAGGCTAGGCAAACGCTCTGAGATGACCTCTTCTACCAGAGATGCTTCTTTTTTAGAAAGTACCATGAAACAAAGAGCTCTCTTTTGGCCCAATGGAACTTCCCTGAAGGACTGGCTTGATTTTTTTTTCTTTTTTTTCCAGACCTGCTCTCTGTTGGGTTTGGAGAAGGAAGGATCTGGTAGGAGGGTGAGGAGAAAGGCAGAAAGATCCTCCTCATAAAGCTGAAGGCCAATTGCCTGGAGTCTGTCCTCTGCTTGAGCCCTGCAGCTTCCCTGAGGGTGAGAGAATAAATGTGAATAAATGTTAGAGGAACAGAAAACAGTAAGAGCCTTAGACTGGAAGTCATCTGGGAGGAGTTTCAGGGAGGTAGCAATGACTGCAGAGACTGCAGGTCTGGGTATCTCGGGCAGGAAACCAAGACAGGAACTTTCAGTGGACAGATGCTTTGCAGTGACCTGCTGTGTAGGAGACGTCAGCTCTGCATAGGCCAGGATCTGCTGGACAACTCTTGACTTGTGGCTTGATCAATGCCCAAGTTAAAGCTGCTGAACAAAAGCGCTCTCCATACAATTCTATCAGCAGAAGTTTCCTTGGTCGCCATGTTTCTGATGTTATTCAGGCTCTGATGGTAACAGCAAGAGTTGCTGTAAGGTATCGTGAGACAGGACAGCACAGCAGCATCCCTTCCCCACTCCTCACCTTTGCTCCTGGGAGGATATCAGTGCTCTTTTGCAGCACCACTTGAAATGACAAATTACAAACGAGTCGATTTTTCAAACTTCAGATGCTGCAACGATTTGACACAAACAAATGCAACGAAAATAATTAAAGGTCAAATGAAAACTCGATATTGTTAAAGATCAGCCATCATATCCACACAGACCCATAGTAATTATGATGCATGCACAGTAATAGAAGCCTAATGGTTGCAAAATGTTCTTTGGATTAATTGGCTTTGGCAGCTTACACACTCACATGATTTTCTACATTTTTGCCCATCCTGACAATCATTCTGTGCTCTAGGCAGTCTTTGCCTGAGCTGTCTGTCTTTATAACCATCACATTATTCTGGCTTTTTGAACATCATAGTGTAGTAGTTTGCCTCTCAGCACCCAGTATGGTTTAATCATGTCCTTATTGTGCACCGTTGTGTAGAGGATAGTTGTTTCTTTCCTTTATAGACAAGGCAGTTTGCCCAGGGAAGGCAATGGTGACCCTGGAGCCATGAAAAGTGAGTTGATGAGAGTTGTGGGTCCGCAGACAGAGAATTTGATCTCACTTTGTGGCAGTACCAGCACATGGAGTCACTACAGGAATAATGGTACATCTTAGAATACGTTAGGGAATTAATGCTGCACCACAAATGGAGCAAGAGCTGGGAGAGTGGCTTCCAAACCCACTTCAGTTTGATAGACTCATTCCACAGGGTGCAGAAGCATAGCTGCAGCTGGGCAGCACCCATCCCCACTCCCCCAAAAGCCAACATGCTCATTGGGGCAGCTCTGGGTCAGTGAGAACATGACCCGGAGCCAGCACCTTCACCTTGCAGTGGTACCACACCACATCCAGTCCTGCCACAGAACAACAGGGGGATTTTGAAGCACTGTATCCCTGACTCAGCGAGTGCTACAGCCCATGCAGTGAATGAGATGACACTTAAGTGCCTTGCTGCATCAGGGTCTGCATTGCTTGGAGTAAAGCAGGATAACTTGTAGCAGACAGGCCACACTATGGCAGATTAAGCCTGCCTTCCAGAGTTAATCTGAGCAAATCGACAGCAGTGTCAGCACTGAAGTCAGCCTACATAGGATGAAGTTTCCAAGTGAATGGCGGAAGTCATGCTTTTTGAAGCTGCAGTCTGGGAGATTCTCAAATGCTGTTCTGTGGTCCTAGCAGTAAGATACAATCACATCAGGCAAGAATGATAGCATTGCTGCTATCTTGCAATATACCTTCAGAGAAATGAGCTAAAGTCTCCAAACATATGTTCACGGAGGTCTTTGCCAGCTCTGCTTGTGCAAGTGACAGTTCTATTTAAATTGCTGCTTAGCCCTGCATTGCATGGGATAGGGCAAGGACCATGCAGGGCTGAGCATCACTGCAGGAATGTTCTGCCTCGCACGGTCTGCATGCACAGCAAAGTGTGCTGTCAGAGCCAGCTGAACTTCAAAAACTGGTCCTGACTGAAGCTGTAGCTTAGAAGCAAATCTGCAGGGAGAAACTAAAGCAAACTTCCCATCTTTTTTTTGTTGTTGTTGTTGGTTTTTTTGGTGTTTTTTTTTTTTTATTTTTTTTTATTTTTAATGATATATATAGATATAAGGAAAATGCTGCAAACTAAAAGCATTGTCTGCTTGCAACTCCAGATGAAGCCTAGTAGATGGCCAAATCTCAGAAAAGTCTCTTGAATATTAGTTTGCTTATTTTGGTTCTCTCCTGCACACAAATACAGGGTTACAACCAGTCTCCCTTTCTGAATGGTTGCTGTGTTACTCTCAGCACTGCTAATCATAGAATCAGGGAATCATTTAGGATTGAAAAGACCTTCAGGATCATCAAGTCAAACCATAACATTTGTAGAAACTGTTCAAAGTTGTTTTTTTTTTTAAATTCAAATTAAAGTCCACTGAGTGTAAAATCTGGGTTGTTATGCTTAAGAATTCCCCACCCTGCACCATTTGGGCTTCTTCCAGCTGTCCTGCAGTTGCTAGCACAGCAGAGAGCTTCGGGAAGGCGATGCTGTAGTCCCTCTCAGCATGTGTTGCCTTGAGAAACGCAGATACCTTCTAAGAAACACATTCTTTTTCAGAAAGCACTGGAGATAAGGTCACATTTCTGACGCAGCCACACGTTATGGCATGCTGCCTGTTTGTGACAGTCCTTTAAAGAATGATTAAACAAACGTAATAGGCAGGCACGAGCATTGAGGCCCCATCTGTCTGAGGAAGAGTCGGGAGTTAATTTAAGTGACTTCTACAACATGTCGCCTAATTCCAGTGGCAGCAAAGCTAATTAAGATGGAGTTGGTCCAAGAGCATGGCGGTGTGTCAGTGGTTTGGAGGCTGCCATAAAGGCACAATCAAACCGTTATGTTAACGAGGAAGTCGGGCTGGGCACTCTGAGCCTGCGAGGAAGTGCTGAGCAGCATAATTAACTGGGTATCTCGGTGCCATTGATAACTTCATGAATATTTCATACTCTTTTCCCACCAATCTGTACTGACAACTTGTGACACGCAACTAGCTGGGGTAAAACGCACTTAGCATGCAGTTGCTGTAGCTGTAAATTTGTCATCAGACGTTATTTTCTTAAGGATGTTCCTCAAGGAGCCTAGCCAGCAGCTCATCTGAGCTCCGAAGGCCAAAGAGCAAGCACAGCCCTTCTCTAATGACTGCTTTAACGGTCTGTTAGCACCGAGCCAGCCAGCCACGTGGGGCTGTAGCCCTTGTTAGGGAATGTTAAATGAGCAGGTCCTGAGGAGGGGAGCTCAGCTTGGCAGGGTCTTGCCTGGAGGCTGGGTGTAGTGGTGCCTCCTCTTGTCCTGATAGGGGTTGGTAACTTCGTGCAACATTTGCTTGATGTTGTAGGGTAAGGGAGAGAGGATGTAGCTAGGGTTGGTTTGAGGCTGCTTCTAACTTAACTTTTCCAGGATCTAAAGGAGCCTGCTTTGTTACCAGCCAGAAGTGACAGCAGTATCCAGGTGGTGGTGCATTGTATCCCCCAGAAGAGAGTAGCAAGGTCTGCTGTGTTTGGGTGTGATGCCAGGTCTGTGGGCTGCATGGGGAAAAAAATAAAAGAGAGGAAGGAATTGTGCACCTCAGACTGAAAGCAAGCTATATGTTTACATAAACCTCCTGTTCTTAAGCCAAAGCTGTGATTCAAAGGGAGGATTTGGGCTAGCAGGAGGGAAAACGGATGTGTCCCTGCTGTGCATGGTTTCCTTGTCCAGTGAGCTCACTCCTCCCCCAGCCCTGCAGAGCTCCTGGGGCTCCTTGCGTCGGCTGTGCCTTGGGGAGCTGAGAGAGGGCACGGGGTGTGGAGAGAGGAGAGATGTCTCCATCCTGCACCTGGAGCAAGCTGCCCCAAAGGCTCTCTGCCTCTGTGTGCGCTCTCCTTCCTAGGGAAGGGGCAAGCATCCCTGGGGCCTCGTGTGGCTCCCAGCTGGGATGGCTTAGGGCACGATGCCTGGGCTGTGGAGGCAAAGATGTGGGGGTGGCACTTGGGGACACGGCTGGTGAGGATGCTCGGTTTTCAAAGCAAGCTTGGACCACCTGGACTGACATGCACTTTGCCTCTCTGCGCAAAGTGATCGATTTAAAACTTGAAATGTGTTTAAGTAGCACTTAATCAGAAGGGCCAAATGTTAGTGCTGCATAATTCATTTTGCCTTAGTTAACTTTTGGGCACCATGCTGAAAAAGATTAATTTTGCATCTCTCCGTATCATCTGTGCAATAGGAGCAGCAGCAGCCTTGCCACAGATATTGCAAGCATGCTCTTACCTTTTATTCAGTTGAGTTCATTTTTATCTCTTTAATCGTAAAACTATAAAAACAAGATGATATTGGCACTGGTAATTGTGTAACAAACCATTGGGCAAGAAAGAGCACATTTAAAGTTGTGTTATAAGCAAAGAAGATTTGGGGGTATTAACGACCTTGAGTATTGAAACTGAGAGAGTGAAACAAATGTATGGGGTTACAGTGCATTTAGAATACAGGAGGGAAATAATAAATCACATGAATAGTTGTAAGGAAATTGAAAATTGTGGGCAGAGAGTAGGAAAACTACACAGAGATTGAAGGACTTATGCCTCTTGCTAAGAATGGTAATGAGAATGTGCGATTTGAATAGGTCTAAACTGCCCTTGAAATATCATTATAACTTATTTGAAAAGACATTTACCATTTGTATGATTTTCCCAAATGTAATACATTTCCTTGCATCTTTGTTCATTCAAAGCTCCTGAAATATGCCTGAAATAAACCCACATTGGAGTTGAAAATAACATAATGTTCCAGGAAGTCAAATTAAAAGCATTTTTTTAATCTGTGGGGCCTCCACAGGAAAGCATTGCTGTGCAGGGAGACAGAGGCAGTGTCCAGGTTAATTTTCTTTTCTGTTCTTCCTCCTACAAATAAATGACCCAATGGAATGAGAAACATTGGTCACAAATCCAACCATCCCAGCAGTGTGCCCCAGCACATCAAAACACCACACGTTAACCTTGTTAGCACTACCTATTTTTTTTTTCCTTGCAGTTAGCTGTGAGCAGGGCATGGGCGCATGCACTGCTGTGTTTGCTGCTGTTACACGAGGGCTGTCAGCACTGTGATGGGAATGCTGGGGAGGCAGCAGAGAAGCTGAAGAGGTGAAGCAATTTAGGACACAACCCAAAGGTTATCCAAGCCATCAGGAAGCTTCGTGTTGGTTCCTGCAGCCTTCGGCAAAGGCGTCCCCTCACTGCAACCACATCTGAGCCACTGCAACAGGCATTTCTTAATAGCGCTGGGAAGAGAAACAGAAGAAAATTTCTTTGAAGGTATGTGCCAATCTCCCAAGTAGCATTTCCAGCAAAAAGGCAACCTAAGAGCTACTACCGCTGCAGACAGAAAAGGAAAATGCAGTCTTCTTCACCTCTCCAAAGCCGCAGTGCAACTGGTGCTGGTAAATGGCTCTGAAATAGAGGCTCAGACTTTCACCACTGCTTGCTCCATTTGTGAATATGTTCATCTTGATGAACTTAGAACTAAGGTTGTGAATGTCTTCCAGTTAGCTGTATATTGGAGGTTATTGTAAGTCCCTTGCAGGGAGAGGGTATGATTTATTTTAAATGGTGATTGTGAGCACTATTTTGTAAATAGAAACTCACTCCCGAGGCTGTTGTTGTGTTTTTAAGGCAGTCTCCCTGCCAAGGTCCCGTGTGGGTTGGGATTGTATGCAAAGATGCCATCTCTTCTTTTCAACAACTATTCCTCTCTCATTGTGTAAAATCCACAGTTTTACCTGGGCCTGAAGAGGCAGGAGGAGAGGAAATACAGGCAAACGGAGGAGAGCCATTTGCCACCATCCAAACAGGTGACTTTTTTTCCCCTTTCTTAAAGATTCAATGCACAAAAGTCACAAAAATCAAAGTTACAGTTCCCCCAGCAGCCATAATTCTGCTTCTGGCAGAGCAAGAGCGAGGCATAAATATGAGCTCCTACCCTGCTGTACATGCTACATATGTGCAGGGAGCTAAGTTATGGGTGCTGCGGGAGCCATGATTTTGAATGTCCTGACTTGTGAAGTCCAATATTCTGGGTAGTTTTTTTCCCCTCCTTTTTACTCTGTGTAGTTATAAATTATATTACAGCTCTTGGTCTCCATCATACTGGCACAGCAGTTTGGGTTATGTGATTGGCTGGAGACTCTCTTCTCCATGAGGAAGTGATCACAGTTATTATGCATAGAATTGTCAAAGCTGGTCCATCTTCCTTTGCAGCACAAGCTTTTAAGCTGAGCTGTGTCGCTCAGCTCTAACACTAATGGTGAGACAGGGAAGCACACATCATTAGCAATCTACATGGGAATGTAACCCCATTGTACATGAGTGGTGATGCTGATCATTCAGTAGGTATGTGAAGGGAATATGTGTATATAGAGATGTGACATGGATATATGGGGATAGAATACAACCCTAAATGCCTCATGTCTTTTTGTTGATGTGTTTCAGGTTACCAGGTGAGTCTTTCCTGTGGATAACTTGCCACGTTCTGATCGTGGATATAAAACCTAAGCTCATACTGCATCTAAAAAAGCATCTATATCAGTTCAAAGCTAAGACTAAAGGTAAGTTTTGATTGAATCTGAAAGATCTTTAGTTGCATAAAAATTTATCCCTGCAAAGGACAGTGCCTGAGATTCATGTGTGCGAGTGCTATGCTGAATAGAGGTTCAGATATGCTTTTTGTTGATTTGTGACCATGGTTTGTAAAGTTGAGCTTGTGCTATATCACTGCCTTAAAACCACATCCACATGACAGAGCATCATCTTTATATTCTGACTGCAAATCTTCAGTATTGAACTCTACAAACATTCAGACTCTGTGAAGGCCTACGTAAGAAGGAATAATGTGGTATAAATAAACTCCATCTGACTTTTTTTATAACGCTTTGTGCAAACTTAACATGCAAGTCAGGTGTGACAGTAACTGTTGGAAAAATGTAATGCTGACAGTATTTGGTAATAAAATAATAATCGCTGCATGTATCTCTGATGGAAAGAGATTCACATCCTTTTGAATCCCTAATTGTGTGCCACACTACATTAGAGACAGATAGCTCCATTGTCTCCACCTTTCAGAGATGGGAAATTCAGAGCAACAGCAAGATGTTCTAGAAATAAGCCGGTTTAATGAAGCAGCAAATTAGACTCTTCTATCTCTTTATTTAACATGTAGTCCCTTGAATTTATCAGAGTTCATTACAGGGATGCAAAATAGAAAAGAAGCTGCAAAATTCATTTGCAATTAGAGCTAATGATTTTGAAAATGGCTTTTCATATTTTTATAGATAACGGCTATTATTCATTATTAAATTTGTGTCACGTTTACTCTAATGAAATGACATTCTCTCCCTTCCCTTGTTTCTATTGTTTATGGCTTGGGTTCCATAAAAGGAAGAATCGTAAAGATGCTGTATGTTTCTTGCCAGCCTGTGACATGGCTCCTGATAGCTTACTTCTGTGACTCGTGTCAGAAGAATGGTTTTAAAATTTCCTTCCCAATTTAATACTTCTATAGTACTTGACACATAACGATACCGAGTAAATGCACTGATCCATTCTTACCCATAATTTCAGCTTCACAGGAGGAGTAATGGACTCAGGGCTGTAAAGTTAAGGGAGGAAAATACATTCAAACAGCAAAATGAAGACAGATTGAGCTGCTGCCCCTTTCCAACCTCTGCTCCCCACCAGACAGCCCCTCACTGCTCCACTGTCTGCCTTCCCCTTGTCCTCACTCCCGTTGTTTCACAGATTTTTCATTAGGACAAGTTGAAAATATATTTGATATTGAGTCAGGGATGGGCAGGCAGAACAGAGCAGTGGATGAATTTGAGGGAAGAGATGGAATTTGAAAGAAGCGAGCGTCCCTCAGAAGTCATGGCCAGCCCTGCACTACACACCTGCCCTGAGAAAATCTGGTTTTGTGGTTGGTATGAGCACAGCATTCTGAAGCTGCAAGCTTCTGTCGTGCTGCAAGCTTATTAAGATGCTCTTTAACTGCTTAATAATAATCAAAGTTGCTGAAGATAATGTATTGTCAGTTTGCTTACCCGTGTAACATCATTTCTCTGCTTTCTTTAATGTCTGTATGTATTATTAATAGTTAACAGCCCTTTCTCTAGAATAACAGATATGGAATCACCATTTCTGACGTAGGAGGCGAAGTGAGCTGTTTATGTTATTTTTGAAAAGGATCTCCTGACATGCTATTGCTAATGACTAACGCTGCTTTGCTCTGCTCTTTGTTTCTTTCCATCCCCTCTCCAGTTTCAGCCTTTCTTCTGTTTCTTCTTAATGTGATGAAACCTGAGTCTGAATGGAGGAAGTTCATTCGTAATGTGGCCAGCCCTGCGGTGTTGAGCTGAGAAAGTCTGCGGTTATCATTTCCTCCTCTGGGGCATTTGTGGATGACCATTGCTGCCCTGGGAGCACCCGCCTGCTTGGCAGCCCCGGCCCAGTCTGCAGCCATGCAGCATGGCGTATCCCACCCACAGTGAGGCTTTGTACCAGCACCAGCTGGCTGGGGGTTACAGCCCAGGGCTCAGCACTGGTACCTTTTGCCTCCCCGTGCACACAAGGCCAATGTGGGTCTCCCTGACCTCGTGTGTCACCAAGGGAGCTTGCTTGTAAGTTTGTACAGTGCATGGCTAGGAATCAGCTGTAGCAATCTGCCCACAGAACTCAAGCAACACCAGAAAAACTCATTATTCAATACCTTATTTCATACTCTGGAAACAAGAGCAACAACCCCAGCCCTTCCTCCCCTTACAGTGGTGCAGTTTCCATCAGTCTTTTCAACTCCTAATGAGATTTAGCGCTGGGGAGGGATATTTGTGCCAGAAGGACCGAGGCTTCTGATCAAAAAGGCATTGAAGTGTGCAGAAAAGTTCCTACAACATTTGGATCAAACCCCATTTCTGTATGGAAGAACAGAGCTAATGCCACCTTAGTGAAGGTTTTAGGAGCTGTCTCTCGGCTCCTATGTCAGGAATGTGTTTGTGGAAAGTCTGTGAGATCTTACCAAATGAATTTGTCAGAGATTCACCCTGTGCCAAAAGACACGTCGCCCCGGGGATGCTTGCACCAGTTCATGGCCTCCTCTCCTGCCCCAGTGCAAAGAACAGCTCCTGCTCATGGAACACAGGCTGCTGTCAGAGAGCTCAGCAGCATCTCGAAAAGCAAAACCCTCTGCTCCTCCTGCAGGAGATTAGAGCTGAAGGAGGGAGTGCAGAAAAAGTACATTTTCTGCTAACAAACAGAGCTGAAGTGACAGGGAAGTGGCACTGTGACACACACACACAGTGCGCACCTTACTCTGCCATTCCCCTGATGATCAATGTTACCCGAGGCATTTTGCAGATGAGTGCAGTTACCTCTTATTCCCAGTAATGATGCAATGTGAAATGCAAATACTCAAAAGGTTGGGCTGCTGTACAGCGGTAATTAATTACTCATGCAGTGATGCAGGAATAGAACAGCAGTAGATCTTTGAGTTTATGATAAAACAATCTCAAAAATACCCTGGGCTGAAATCAACTGTTGTATACATGCATCTTTTTCCCCTCACTGTGACCCACCTGGATGCAGCCTGAGGCTTTGCAGAAGGGCCGGCAGCCCCCAGCCCTGGCCTTGGGAGCAGCCCAGCACATCCTGTCATTGACCTGATGGTCCCATCCTGGCTGTTACAGAGAAGCACCAACTGTGGGGACTGGGACCAAAAATACCCACAAGCCACATTACAGCAGAGCTTCACTGGTTCAGCTCTTTCCTTCTAATTAAACCACTTTGATTGTTATCACAACAGCACAAGGGCCATGGAGGGGAGAACATGAGCACCTCAGGGCTGGCTGCAGGCTGCAGTGCCTGGAGCTGAGTGCTGGCACCACAGTGTCCCCAAGGGTCAGGTGGCACGGGAGCTACCATCAAACCCAGCCCCATACATTCAGATGATTAATTTCTGTGCCAGCACAGCCTTCACAGATACACCCGAGGCCCTGATCTTAATGAATCACGTAAAATGTTATGCCCTTTGGAAAGGCAAATATAACCCAAGTAATTATGAGCTGCTTTTTTTTGCTTTCTTTTCCTGTCTCTCAAGGTCCAACTTTGACTATGCGATATGCTGCTGCTACATTTTGTGCATGAATGCACGTTTTGTGAATGAATCTTCACTGTTGGAGCTGTTGTGGGACATGGAGGGAGCTGAGATGCTGAGGGCACCCTCTGCACTGACCTGCCCATGAGTCTGGAGGAGTAGAAGTGCATGGGAAGACGTTGGGTGCTTGCCTTGATGGCACAGCCCAGCCTTTGGAGCTGCTGAAACTGCTGCCACCCATGGGAATAGCTGAGGATGGGATTTGTTCTTTATCAAAGACTTTATTCCCCTGACAGCTGAGCCTGAGCTGTGTGTCCACTGAATCCAGCCCTTTCATTTTCCCCCTTTAAGTTTTGAGCTCACAATTCTCATGCAGCGAGGGCAGGCTTAAGCTTGACTGTCAGTATAAAAGACTTTTCTTTTCATATCACTTCTCCTCTGCAGTTCAAACCAGCTCCAACCTCACTAATGTCAACTTCAAAGGCTTCCCCGTGCTGCAGCCACAGCTTTTCCTGCAGAGCCCATCCTAGTGTCACCAGTAGGTGTGCGGATGCCAGGCATCAGCCATCATTTCTTCTGGATGCATTGCTGTCCTGGCAGCAGCAGGCTGAGAGCTTGTCCTTGTGCACAGAAAGCCCCCAGAGCCTTTTTTTTTTCCAGCTGACGTTGGATCAGGGATGGAAACATAAACATGCGCAGCCAAAGTCCTAAGTTCCTTGGTTCCAAGGCCAAAGGAAAGCCCCAGCTCCCGCGGGAGGCAGTTCGTTCCTGGATGCTGCGGGATGAGCTTGCTCTTGCTGCCCTCATTCTGGGCAGCCTTCTGCTGGGGGAAGTTTAAGATGTAGATAAAGATGACAGCGCATGGAGCGATTTCTTTAAATTCCTGATCTATTGGAACAAGTTGTATTTCCCTGGGTTTGTGTTTAACGTCATGCAAATAGGAGCATTCAGTTGGAGAATAATATGTGCATGATAGATAATGTTGAGGCGTTTAGTTTTATTTTGAGCAGAGTATCCTGTTTATGCTGCTAGGAAAAGTAAAAGCCCCATCTATGAAAATTGCTTGTGCTTTTTTCAGATCTGAGCAAATCGTTGACCACGTTGCTCTGAGCTGTACTCAGGAAGGGCAGAGAAGGGAGCAGAGGAGGGGAAGTCTCAGCTATTTATGTTCATTCATATAGGAGGAGGAAACAGCAGGAAAAGGTCAGCTGCAGGAATTTGGATTGGTGCAGTTGTGCAATGGAAGACGAAAAATGGAAGACCTTTTCTCATAGGCAATTATCACCATGATGTGAACAAGCATTTAGCAGCTTCCTGACCGAACAAGGGATGGGTATGGGTGATGAGAGGAAAGTCCCTTGACACAATGCTTGTTAAACATAGAGCAGTTGCAGCTTAAAATGCCATCTCAGACAGGGTAGCAAAACGAGCTGAAAGTGTCCCAGCTCCAACTGCTGCCCTTGGAGAGACCAAGTGCAAAGGATACTTCGATGGAAGCTGTCACGAAGACTGAAATGGGAAAATGGAAAAGATTTCACAGTGGCTTTGAACATCCCCTAGAGCAGTCCCTGGAGAGCCCATTGAGAGCCCTTACCTTCCTGCTCATCACAGCACTCAGCAATGCCAAAACAAGGAATCGCTGGTTACAGCACTGGCTGGGATTTAGGGTAAACTGAAGGAAATATTTCTTCATCTATAGCATAGTCACTCCTTGTTGCTGCAGGAAGTTGAGCAACTGGGTTTAGAAAGAGCTGGTTTTAGAAAGAGATGGAGCACTACCTGCACACTGTGCTCCATGCATCTGTGAGTATGAACGCAGCCAGTGGTTCATGCAACTGCATGCTGGGGGCCTCGATCTGATGTCCCGATGCTTCTCAGAAAAAGGACTCAAATCTCCAGCTGTGCAAGATGAGCCTGGCTGGGCTGTGGTCTTCTCAGTAAATAAGAATATCTGTTCCTCATTTATCTGCTGCATGGGCTGGCTGCAGGAAGAGCAGCATTAGGAAATGAGGCTCCTCAGGGACCGCACAGCGGCGTGAAGTTAGGAAAACGTGATGGGCTGTTCCTTTCCACTGCACACGAACATCATGGCACCAAGATATATTGGTCACTAAGGAGTTCCCGAATTAGATGGGCCATGATTTGAGTTAATAGCAATATGAAAGAGGCAACACTTGCAAAACACAAATGGCAGCACTCCACTGGCAGCAGCCCACTGGTTGCTCACACCATGCATGCATAAGCTCCTGTGGGCCTTCTTCAGACTCAGCAGAATTTGGAGGAGGCTTTACTCAAAGAACACGAGCATCTTGACTATTGGGGCTTATTTATGTCTTCTTGAACCCTATTTTCAATGCAATGTGCTGAAAAGGGATTTGCTACACAGCACTTGAAAATGCAGCCTGTAGAGCAGGAGTGTGGCTGCTTACTGGCAAGCACCCAGCCCCTCTCCCAGTTCAAAAGGCCACTCACCCTGGTGATGCTATTGCATGTGTGAGAACGTGTTTTTGCAAGTGTAGTGGCTGGACTGGTTTCCACCAGGATTTAATCTGCTGCTATCATCCCAGCACAGGGTTAAAATAGAGCTGTAGCGTGTGAGTATACTGTCAGATCAACAAGAAAGTACATGATGCTCTCATTTACTGATGGTCTCACTCAGCTGAGACCCACTCACCCACGACCACATTGCCTCAGGCAGAGATGCTTCTGTGGAACCTTTGGGGATAGGAGATGTTGGTGAGTGGATAGGCGTGGAAAACATCATGGCCTTGTCCCTCTGGGCTTTACCTCCATCTGTGGTCCATCTCCCCAGATAGCGAGTTGCTGAAGGGATGAAGCACATCTTCCCAGCATGGCGCTCACCACTGCTGCAGGGAGCCAGCCCCAGCCTGCATTGCTGGGGTTTTGCTCTCGTTTGATCTTTACCATAAAAGCAACCCACATGAATTCCTGCAACAACGAGCTGCCCTTTGCACTAGTGGCTGTGGAAATGGGAGCTGGCAGGAGATCAGAGCGAGGAGGGTGAGCAGGGTCATTTGTCCTTTGTAGCATCTCACCCGCAGGTGACGCAGGAGGTCGCACTCGTTCCTTGCAAGCTGGGTGGGAGCTGCACCCACAGCCTTCCACTGCCACCTCCCTGCCAAGCCCAGTGTCTCTGGGAGAGATGAGAAGATGATAACCTCCTGGAGATGAGAAAGACACCGCGACTTTCCCTCTGAGTAACCCCAGTACACTGAGATCCAAGGTCCATGTCAGTGTTTTATTTTCTGTATCCTAACAATAACAGAAAAAAAAAAAGAAAAGCCCACAATAAAGCCCCAAAACTACCAAGCCGGGGTTTTAGTCCTTTTCCCATCCAAAGCTGTTCTTTAATGTGGGCCTGGGAAGGCAGATATTTGTTAGTTGTCACCCCAGCCATGGCTGGAGTGATTCAGGAGTGTGCAATTTGCTCAGTACTCTGGGGTCCTTGGAGATGCGTGTCACCAGAGAGACATCAGAATCCTCGAAGTTCACATTTAGAACAAGGAGTGAAGTTTCCACACTAGGGATGGCTGTGGTGAGGTGAAGCAGTTTGCAGCTGTCCCTGCAGGGCTTTCAGTGCGTGCTTTTTGCTAATGTGCCTTCTCATTGGGATTTTCACCTTTCTGAGCAATCTCACTTATGGATGAAAAGGAGAAAAAGAGATTCAGCGGTACTGCAGCTCTGGCACTGAGTGGAAGCCCTGCCTTTAAGCAGTGGTGGCAGGGAGAGAAAACAAGGTAAAAAAGGACAGAAGTGAGAAAGGCGGAAAAGATAGTGCAAGAAAAAAATCTTGTGATGGAGCTGAAGGCACAGGTCGGAAAGCAGATGAGATCTGCAGTTGTGTCCTCTGGTCTCGAGCTGCTAATAAATGACCTATCCCTGGTGGAAGCAGAGCTGAACAGAGCATCCCAAAGCTAGCAGTGGAATGGCAGGAGCATCTCCATCCCCTTCCCACCAGCCCATTGCTTGGCTGCAATGAGTTGGGGCTGGCAGGAGGCCGTGCTGGTGTGTGCTCAGAAGAGAGAAGCTTCTTCCCCAAAGCAATCAGTGGGAAGAATAAAGATTGAAAGCATATTTCCCCAAAGTCCAGTGACCTTCCCGAAAGCAACACTATGTCTTCTTGGCAAAAGGTCTGCATTATTTAAAAAGACATCCATGAAAGTTGCAGAGGGGCAGTGAGTCCCTGTCTGTCACATAAATCCCATTGATTCACTTGCAGTTGTGCTGCCCTGGAATGTGGAAATGCAGTGGCACGAATGTAGAAGAGTAAATACAACAAGGGTATAAGTCAAAGGAGTCGTTTCTCATGAGAAACAAGGAATCAGTAGTTTTGTTTGTGTGGCTGCAGATTTTATTCTTATTTTTGTTCTACTGATGCCACAGTTTCATGAGTAGACACTGTAATCTTCAACTCCGAGCTGATGGGAGGATGTGTACCTTGCAATCCAAGTGATTCATGTGCTTACATGATCCAGCGCAGTGTAAGGGAGCAAGAATCCCTAATCTAGAACATTAGCACTTATCTGTTAAATGCTCTTTTTTAACAAGCTGCAGAACCATCATCCTTCTTCTTACATAAGGTTCTTCGCAGACTACTATGACAACGGCCCTGAAAAATGGCATAATGAGACACAAAGAGTGTGAGGAACACGCTGCTAGAACAGCAGCTCATCACAGCTATTCTTATCTGACCTCAGAAAGGAAAACACTTCTGGATGCTTTTTGGTCGCTAATGATGTTTTCAGCTCTCACTTTATTCCTGTGCTCAAAGGGCTGCTTCTGTTGTTGAGCTCGTGGCTCACTGGGTCTGTGAAGCTCACAGGGCAGAGCTGGGTGGCTGTTCCTCCTGATGAGGAGGCTCCTGCAGTAGCACCAGAGACCTGGTGGAGTTTGTGGGTGTGCTGGGGAAGGCTGGGGGTGGGATGGGCTGAGGGTTGTGATGATGGCAAAGCCTGGCTGAGGTGTTGTGGAACTTGTTCCCAGCTTGTATTTCTTTGCAGAAGGTGGAAACCTGTGGTGCTGCGGGGTGTGATATCACCTGCTGCTCCAAGTAGGTTAAACTCAACTGGAAATGAGGTTTTCAGGGTCAGAGCAGTTTACTGTTGGAGGTGGTGAAATCTTCACTGTTTTCAGTCCAGGTTTGATTTCTCTTGAGGTATGCTCCTGTTCAACGAAAAGTTCATTCTGCCCATTTAGCATTCACTAATGGCATTTAGAAACCCAGACCAAACCTCCCTCTTCTAACCTTAAAACCTGCAAATCTCTTAAGACTTGTCATTTAACCAGTTGGTTTAACTGGTGCTGGAGGCGAGTCTGTGGTGTGGTAACCACAGAACAGACGGCCGTGGCTCTGGCCCGCAGGCAGCGAGCTGTCCCCTCCTGGTGGCCAAGGCCCATGGTGGGGCAGATCCATGCTAACCCCACACTGCTGCCTGCAGGCAGCGCATGCTGCACCCCTCCTGCAGCAGATACAGTGTGCAGCTGAGGCAATCTTTAGGAAAAAGCAGAACTTGCAGCCCTGGGGAAGGCTGGTCATGGTCCTGCACCTGTCCATGGAAGCACTTGATACAGGTGATGCTATTCTTCCCATTCTGGAGTCAGCAAACTTGCATTGAATTCCACCCATTGCTTGACGCATAGTGTGAAAGATCGAACAAATTACATGCTGTTGTTATTAGGAGAGTTTTTAAGATAAGAAGTTAATTCTCCTGTCTCACATTATCTGCTTTTTCTCAGTTCTTTTATGAGAAAATTTTCTTTTTAGATGGCTGATTTATTCCCATTCTTAGTTTTTTCAGGAACCTGTAAACTCTGTAGTGCATTATCACTTGAATAGGCCAAATAATTATCTGAATGCCTACTCACAGACAGTTGGCTTTCAGTGAAATTGAGGCTTCAAGGAGAATTAGATAGAGTTACTAACCACACTGGGAGCTAAAAATATGCATCTTCAAGAGCTGAGGTCTTTTATGTGATCATCAATTCACTGTGTCAAATCTAACATCGCGTGGGTATTTCAGAGCGGTATTTCCTAATTCTGATGTTTGAGTTTTTACAATAGGAGACATTCAGCAGATTTAGGAAGGTGATCTGAAAATTGGGCTTTTGGGGTTCCTTCTTTTGAAACTTAATCCTTCCTGAGCAGCCAAAGGTGCAGCTCCACAGAAGCCCTAAGGCATAACAGCACTGAAATATGGAGACTAACCTCCCAAGCTTTGACTTTTTTTAGAACATCAGCCATTTAATTGGACCCAATGTATTTTTCATACCAATTTTGCAGTCACCTACAGGCCGTGTAGATGTGTAAGATCTTTTCTAACAGCAGACATGCTCTAGCACCTGTTGGTTGTGGGAAGAATGGCATCGTGATGGATGTTAAGTCCATTGCAGCCATCCAGGGTACAGCACTGACCTCCTGGGCTGGCAGCCTCTCACACATCACACCTGTGGTGCAAGCAGCATTACAAGCAATGATGTCCATGATGTAGAGCTCCACGGTGTTATTTCCTCCTTTTTAGTTCATCTTTAGTTCTGCTGTGGTTTTGAAGCCAAGAATGATAATTTGTACTTTTTATTTTAACTTCTGTGCACCTGGGCATTATGGAAATAATAATTCATGTTTTATATTTATTTATTTGTTGTTTGTTTCTAGGATACAAATAAGAATAAAAGCACACTGTGCCCTTCAGCTGGTTCGACTGGTGATGGCTCAAGCCAGCCACGTGGGCTTACAACAGCCACAAATCCAGCCTGGTTATTTTTAATACTTCTTGTGCGTCAAAATCGGCCTATTCCAATTTGCTTTTAAAACATCCTTGGAGTGTGACTCCATTTACTCAGACCGTATTTGTCTTGAGTGCACTTTTACGAAATAGCCATAAGCACCAAAAAGGCCACGTCTGTAATGCAAACAGTGCCAGACAGCCCGACCCCCCCGGGGGTGCCGCCAACAAATCGATCCGACAGCTCCCGACCAGGATGGAGCGGAGCAGGGCTGTGCCCAGACAATAAGTGCGTTATATGCTCCCCTTCAGCTGCACTTAGCCTCACTTCAGCTAAAGAATGAGACTGTTTCAGGAATCGTGTAAATACGGGCTGCGCAAAGACAGCCTTCCTGTTTGGAAAAAGAGAATTTGAAAAATCTGAGAGAACAGGGAGCTACGTGTGGGAAGGGGTGAAGCAGTGGGGGTGGGAGGGAGGGATGGGCGAGGTGGGGACAGGGAGGCAGAAAGGGGATAGAGATGAATTAGAGGAAAGGTGAAAATAAGAATAGAGAGTTGAAAAATAAGGAGAAGAAAACAGACAAAAATACAGTGAGGGGCACTGAAGGGAGCTCTGCATGTGTTTCACCGCTTCTCTGAAAGTTTGCACATTCACTGCGCTTTGGTGTCTTCTCTCCAGAGGGGACGGAGGTTCCCAAAGGCAGCACCATCAACCCTTCCACCTCAGCAGCCCACAGAGGTGATCAGCTATTGTGCTGGTGCTGGGGATGCAAGCAGTGCCAAGGGTCCCCAACCCCACTCCTCTCATTTCTTCCTCCAAAGCTGGACTGGGGCAACTGCAGAACCACAGAGCCTGCAGGAACAAAAGCAGACAGGACTCGGGCATTGGTGTGGGCAGATCTTCAGGCTGGCACCAGCCACTTTGGGCTGCCGCTAGCCTAGGATGTGCCCTAACCTGCAGCATGGTCTCCCACCTGCTGCAGGGTCCCTTTGGACCTGCTGTGTGATGCTCCCTACATCTCGCAGGACGCCCCCTAGGATGTCCCCTGGCTGCCGCGCGATGCTCCCTACTTGCAGTAGGATGCTCCCTGGGGTTGCCCTCGGTTACTGCGGGACATCTCCCCAGGACCCACTGAGCGATGCCTCCGGGGATGTCCCTCGGCCGTAGCGGGACACCCGGCGGCTCGCCCCCCCGACGTGCCCCGGGCTGTCCCCAGCCGACCGCGGGTGCCCCCCCGCCTCGCCCCGGCCCCGCGGAGGGGTGCGCACGGCGTCCCGCGGCGCTGCCAGGGCGGGGGTGACTCACGGCGCGGCACGGCAGCCCCCAGCTTTATAACGGCCGGGGCGGCACCGGGACGGCTCCACCGCGCCGCGCCCGCGGGGAGCGCAGGGGGCCGGGGGCCGGCAGCATGCGGAGCCTGCGCGGAGCTGCGCTGCTGCTGCTGCTGGCGTTGCTGCCCGCGGGGCGCGGAGCCGTCATCACCGGGGTGAGCGCCTTCGCACGGCACCGGGACGGCACCGCCGGACGCGCCGGCGGGCGGAGGGCTGTGCGGGGGTAAAGGGTGCCGGGCTGGGGGTCTGGGATAACCGATAGCGGGACGGCGGTCGCGGGGCTGTGTGGGCGCCGGAGAGGCGTTGGGACTTGTGTGGATAAGCGACAGAGAGACGTGCGGGGCTCTCTGGGGCTGGGGCTGAGCGGAACTGGGGGTCTCCCTGCGCTGAGCGACACCAGGACTTAGGGGACTCTCCGGGGTGAGAGATGTCCGGGTGGCGGCGGGACCCGCGGGGCGCTGCGCCGAAGGATGCGCAGCACGAGGTCTGTGCCCGGGGCGCTGCTCCCGGCGGGGCGGGGGCTCCGGCCCTCCCGCTGCCCCCGGCGCTGCCCGACTCGGGGTCCGCGCGGCTCTTGCAGCCGTGTGTCCGCCCGGCGGCACCGCTACTGCCATCACCTTTACTGTCATCACCTTTACTGCCATCACCGCTAAACGCTGCTTTTTTTTTTTTTTTTTTTTTTAAGTATGACCGTGCTGGTTTTTTTCCTCACTGCGAGCGAATCCTCTGTTGTTGTTGTGTGTTTAGGCTTGAGATTTACTTTGCTTGTGATTTTTTTTTTTTTTTTTTTCCCAAAGACGTTATTCAACCCGAAGCGTTGCATCACTCCGAAGTAAAATGATTTTTCTCGTGTTTGCTTTGGGTCGGTGACCCAGCTCTGGCATTCTTTCGGCAGCTCACATGGCTGCTGGAATCACCAGGCACTGCGGGGCCGTGCGGGCTGCGGGTGTCCTCTGGACTCCAGAGCAGCTCCCGGGACGGAGCCGAGTGTCAGCAGGAAGGAATCTTTCCGTAGTTGAGAAACGAATGTTCCTTTTCAACAGAAGTGTTTCGAGCAACGAAAGGACGGGTGTAGGTTAGCCTGTCGTTAAGGTTGTGGCTACACCTCTAAAGCATAATGAATAAATTAAATAATTGCGAAGCTCTGAATCATAGATTAAAGACACACAGCGTTAAAAAATCAAAAATGTTTATACTAAAGATGTTACTTTGGTAACTACCGCAGTGTGTTTCTGCTCAAGCTGCTCTGATGGGTTTTTGGCTTCCGAACGAAAAGGGAAATCTCAGGTGGAAGCTGACATACTTGTTCTCATCCACATCCTCTGAGACAAAGTGCTCTTCCTTTGCAATTTAAGACTCAAACAGAACCTTGTGGCAGCTCATGTGCTGATTTCCGCTGGCTCTGGAGCCAGCATTTCTTCATGGACTTTTTCTCAGGCTGCGTTTTCCACAAAGCTGTGTGAAAAGGGGCACTGAGGGGGGATGAGCTGTGCCCAGAGCACGGCAGGAAGGTCAGGGTGCACAGCAGCACTGGGGATGCATGCTTTAATAGCTCATCAAACATTTTGGAAGGGGGATCTTAAAAGCTCTGCCAGATAAATATATGTATGTGCATGAGAGTGAGTTCTAAACCATAGCACTGTTCAGCACTGCTTGCCTCTCCCAAACTGTTCTGCACCCCTTACACTGCTCTGCTGCGGGCAAAGCGACTCCAAGACCATCAGTCCTGTGCCTAGGGTAAAATTATACCATCAGAGGGATTGTTTTATTTTATTTTGAGAGAGAGAGAAGAAAGAAAGCAAACATTACCTACCTGGAAGGCTGCATTGGTAGTTTTATGGCCACTCTATTCTTGTAAGTAAATATGCTGCGTGTTTGGGCTCGCTCACAGCACAGAGCTCTGCTTCCTTACATGCGTTGAGGAGAAGTGCTGGCCGTTGGGTTACACACATACTGACAGTAATTGCAACAGCTTTTCCCTAAATTACTCGCTGATCTGGCATTGCTGTTTGAAACAGTGCAACGTTTACTCAGCAGAGTGCAATCTGTTGGCATTTATCATGTAGATCCCAAGGTGAGACCCGTAGGCACTGACTCAATGACTGTCCTGCTGAGCAGCCTTCCTGGCTTTTAGGTGCATTTTTAGAAGCTGCCTCTTGCTGTGCCTCCAGCCTCTCAGCCCCGCTGCCAGACATGAGAGCAGCAAGGTGCCTGACCCTACTGTTGGGGCATCATCAGAACCTTGAACTGACAGAATTTCTCACTGCTTTGGCAATGAGAGAATATGATTGAGAGTCCGATGATCTTCTGGTCTACAAAAAGAAAGATGTGCAGTAACCTGTTCCAAGCCCTAATATATCGATTACTCTTCATGGTTTCTGGTTTTTGAAATACACCCAGTAGCTTAATTTTAGTTTGTGCAATCTAGGCCACAAAACACATCGGATAAATGACTGATAATTTCAGTTTCCCCTTGCAGGGTATGTGCTACCACATTTTTCTTGGGCATGGGCACTCACACAAAGTGTTTTCAGTTATACAGTCGGGACATCTTTTAGTTACATGTAATTCTAGGTAACAGCCATACATTCCCTATTTAAACTTGTATTTTATCTACTTCCACTTGCAGTTTGCTAACAGAACTATCAAGCACTTGCATTTGAAAGGCACTCAACCATCAGATATTACCATAAGAAACTAGAAGGAATAGGTCTCTAGAAGTCTTTAAATTCATGGATGATTTCAATTCTTAGCTTCTCTGTAAGATGGGATTCCATTTGTCTGGTGCCCTGTGTCCTCGCATCTCCCTGAGCTCCCTTAGGCTCCGGCTATGGGTGGAAAGTATTTATGCAAACAGAATAAACAATTTCTCTTTCTGGAACCACAGGCCTGCGACAGAGACCAGCAGTGTGGAGGAGGGATGTGCTGTGCTGTCAGCCTATGGATCCGCAGCCTGCGGATGTGCACACCGATGGGCAATGTAGGAGAGGAGTGCCATCCTCTGAGCCACCGGGTGAGTAGGGCTGGGGAGCAGGGCTGCAACTGCAAATGGTCATAGCCTCTGTGGTTATAGGCCCTGTGATGTGCGGAATGTAACAGCATCCTTACTCCTGGTGGGGATCCTGGCTGGGACCAGGTGGAACAGAGCTTTGTGTCCCCATCAGTAGTGACCCCATGGCCACCTCAACACCTTGGAGACCTCCAGGGGACCTACAGATGTCTGGTGATTGGCTCCCCACCTTCTGCTTTCCTTCTCAGCAACGAGATGGTGTCAGCTTGATGCTATTAGCAATCTGATGGCATCACAAGGGCAGGGTCTGCAACACGTCTGTAGGCGGCATCACTGCTATTATGCACCTTGCATATAGACCCTGCATCCCTCCCGTGTCTCTGTGTCACCATGCTGCTATCACCCATCCTAAACCCAGAGCTATGCATGTGGAGGGTCTAGAATATATCACTTAGGCTGCTGGAAGCTGCAATGAGTCAGTCCTGCCAGCAGCAGAGCTGTGATTGCAGGTTCTGTGTTGCGCAGGCAGCCGAGAGATGCCATTCCTGCAGGCTCTGCAGCCGGTGACCCAGGCTGGGCTGGGATAAGGTGCAGGGAAGTTGGAAGGGGTACTGGGCAGGGAGAGCCGGCCACTGTGGGTCGTTATGGTGCCACTTCCTGCGCAGGCTGTAGGGCACTGCTCTCTGAGCGCTCCTACCGCAGCTCCGCCGTGGCCGTGCCCTGCTGACACCCGCGTTCCTCCTTCCAGGTGCCCTTCCCAGGGCGGCGGATGCACCATACCTGCCCCTGCCTCCCCAGCCTGGCCTGCATGCGGGCATCACCCAGCAAGTTCAGGTGTTTGCCGGACTTCAGGAAAGAAGATGTCTTCTTTTAGCAGGAGCTGCTCGGTGTTCTGAGGAGGAGCCGCCCGTGTTCTGTTTGTTGTTGTGATGAGCAAGGTACTCGCTGGGACCCCTCTCCCATCCTTCCCTGCCTCACCAACATCACAGTGATGATGCCGTGCTGTGCTGTAGCAGCCAAGGTTTTCTGAAGGGCTTTCATTTTGGGGGGGGTGAAGTGGGATTTGCTGCGCAGTGCAGATTTCTGACATAAGGAGCTCTGTTGCTGGACAGTCCTGTTGTCTGTGTGGCTCCAGCTTAACCCCAGAATGAAACCAGCCACAATAGTTATCACCTTTGGAAAACTTTGGCTGCATTTTTACACTTTGGAATGCTTGAACCGAACTGAGATTTGAATAATTATATGGAGGGAAGCATATAACAGTTACCAAAAACCTACCCTTCTATTTCACTCCTTGGTTAATATAACTGTCTGTAAGTTAGGCACACCTCCATGTTAAACGTTTAACCAGTAGATGTAGATTTTACACTTTTAAAAAGTGGCTGACAGAACCAAAGCATTTCAATACTCAAAGCATTACAAGACTCTGTTATTTTAATACTCTGAGATTAGGAAAAGTCTTTGTTACTGGAGTTGGTGTAAAACTACCTGATCATCCCAAACTATGTATTAAGATGTAGTTTATATTAAAAAAGGAACCCTGACATTTATTGTAACGGGCTGCCTGACTTCTTGTATATGTACCGAATTTGCTGTGTAAAAATTCTGTATCAGAATAATGGCAGTATATTATTTGATTTATTTTAATATTATAACATTATTTTGTCATTGTGGTTTTCAGTTTTTATTCAGTGTACCCTGTGATCGCATCCCTGTTATCACAACCAAGCTGTGCTCTGGGAGGTGGAGGATGGGGAATGTTGGAGGAGTTAATGTGAGAGGTTTGTCTTTGCACATGCCTCAAAGCCTTCAGCCTGTCAGACATGCAGTTGGTAGGTTCTCTATGGAGTACCATGCAACTCCATGCTTACTTGTGGCTCTAGAGATGGAATTCTGATAGTTTGTGTGAGGTTCACACATTTCTGCTCTCAGACATGCAAACGTATGCTGCCTCTGGGAAGGGGAAGCTGCTCATCTTCCAACAATCAGAGCCTTTGCTGGTGGTGATGGTGGGATGGAGCAACTAGCATGCGACACTAAAGCAAACACCTGTACTGCTGAGAGGACACATGTCCCAGTGCATTCACCAGGCACTTGCCCCCACGGCCCTCTGGAAGCAGCAAGCAGCCACTGGAACTACTGCTTTGGCATTAGAAAAATAGATTTGGAGAGACTGGAGGGATGGCATTGCACCTTTCTGGCTCAGAGCAGCCCAAGCCCAGGGCTCATGTCCTGATGCCAGCACTGATCTTTACCCACTAAGACCTTCTCAGGTTCTCCCTGGGCTTCCATTTTTAGGAAGGAACACAGAAGCAGCCCAGATGTGTGTGTGTCCCCATCTCTTACTCCATTCATCCCCACAAAGCACATGGTCAGAATGGATCACAGCAGCAGCTCTCAGCCCTGCTCCTGGCTGCCACTGCTGTGACCCTGCAGCAACTGCAGGCTGGTCTGCATCAGCTTCTGGCTGTAGTGCTCTCCTTCATCCTCTCTACCTGGGAGATCCATGCTAATGCTGAGTGCAGTTTTATTAATATTGGAGAAATATTATTAATAATACAAATATGTGCATTAATTTTTAATGTTGTATTAATATTGATATTACAGGCATGTTACAGAATAACGATGCTGTCACTTCAAGCTGAGAGAAGTTCCCTGTTTATCACCAGATTTTGGCTTAGCAAAAAGCCATTGTAAGAAAGGATGCTGCAAAACATAACGAGCTGCTGCCTTAATTTGATTTCTTGCTAATTAGGTGGGTGAGGCAAGGTGCTTTGCAGGGCAGGCAGCACCTGTGAGCCTGAGGGATGGGGAGCAGCACAAAGCCCAGCTGGAGTGTGGCCTTGTCTGCACTCTCCTGCATATAATCCCTCACTGGGAAATGCCCCTTTTGAAAGCCTTACAAAGTCTTTGGGTGTAGGTGGTGGTGTGTAACAAATTCTCTTAGCTGCTTGGTCAGTGGGGCTGAGATCTGAGCAGGTGTTTGCCCTAGCCAAGGCCTGGGTTGTGCATGAGGAGCTAAAGTTAGTACAAGGCTGGGGGTCATCTAGGTGAGCTGGAGAGCTGGAAAAACAGCCTGTACTGTGTGGGGCTGCTATAAGGTATGTGAAATGGGGTATCTGGATTTTACTCATGCTACTATGAAGGTGGGTTGGAATCCTTGGGCTTGTTGTTGTTTTGTGGCTGCACCATGTGAGATCTCATCATGTGCCCAGCAAAGAGGCCCTTTGCTGATCTGCACTGTCAGCACAATGAGCCCTGATGCTGTGCAGCCCCAGTGAGCAGAGTGCAGCCCTGGGTCCTTGTGGACACCCTCCCACTCCAGCAGCACTCTGATTTGTTATTACTGCACAGATGGATATTCAAAAGAAACAGAAGGTGCTGAGAGTCCCTTGATTTAAACAAGATGTCTCAGGAATTTGATCTTGACAATGTGTAACATGTTTTCCAGAAGGAATTAGAAAATTGCAGGAGGAGAAAAGGCTGTGCAAATACAAGGGGATTTTGATAACGGCAAAATCAATGTGCCTCTCTCTATTAGATAGAAATGAAATGCCAAAACAGCGGGGGTACAGCTGTTACTGATCAATGCTGTGAGCACAGGAATGGAGATGAGCTTAATGCATGTCAGACGTAGAGAAAATCACCTACAATTTCCTAAAGGAAAGTGAGCAGAACCAAGCCCTGCTTACTTCTCTTGCAAATGTGAGTATGCTTTGTTGTTCATCATGTGGGTATTTGTGGGCTCTTTCTCAGCACAAAAAGGAGATTTTCTTGTCTCCTTTTTTTTTTTTTTTTTTCCTACTTACATGGATGAAGCCTTACCAGGAGGGTCCCTGAGCCCTCTTGGTACAATGGCGGAGCTTTTTGGCTGCTGTGTTGTCATCATTTCACCCTCCACTCTGGTTCCTCTGAACTCCCTGAAGTCTCAAACAGACCTTTACGCGTTGCAACAGAGCTTTTGGTGACCTGGGGCTGGCTTACATCAGCACTTTTGCTCAGACAGAGATTGTGTAAGCATAGAGTAAGGAAACGTTGTCCTCTGAGTGTTTGGGATCTACAGGGACAAAGTGGGCACACCTCCATGCCCAGAGGTGATATCACACCATGGCTTCACGCTGCCTTGTCAGCTCCTTGACTTGGGCGCCCACATTCCCCTTGGTCTGACTGTACATCGTATGCTCAGCTGCCATCCTCTGCACCCAGATGTCCTCTGCCTAGCTGAATTTGGCTGTGCAGTGCTGTGTATGGGGCCCATGGAGGGGGGGGGGCGAGCAGGAGAGCCCCACTGATTCACCCAGCTACCGGGTTGCTCACTGCCTCCTTCAGCTCCCCGGTGACAGATGGGAGCAGATTGAGCGGTTTCATGGAGGGAGGTTGTATTTCACTAAATCATCCCTCTTTCTCTCACTGTCAGAAAGCACCCAGACTTCTGCTCCACTTCTAATTCTGCCTGTGTTTCCCCCTTCTGGATATTTTTTTAAATGGCAAAGCCCTTTTGGCTCTATCTCTGCTGAATTTTCCGAGAGCTGCACTGGTGTTTATAAGGAGTGATAATGGGTAAGGAGTGATAATGGGTATTGTCAGGCAGTGAAAGAAAGGAACACATTGCTTTCAGACAGACGGGATGTGGTGCTGTGTACAAGTGCTCCTGGTTTTTGCCACCCCAGGCACTTAGGCAGAACCCTGGGCACAGTGTGGCTGCTGGCTGTGGGTGGGCACATGGGCTGCCGCTGCTCACAGATGGAGCACCCTTCCTTCCCTGGATGACTTGTTCCAATGATTAATCATCCTTCCACAAACATAGGACTGCATTTTTTAATGGCACACCAGTAAATAATGCTTTAGGAGGGGTGTCTCTTCGCTGGGTGATCGCCTGATTGCTGCCTACTCTATCAGCACTGATGAGTGCCTAAAATTAGCCAGGACTTCACAGTTCCCTGTGTCCTTGCAAGACTCGCTTTGAACTTGAAAGCCTCCTACACAAAGTGCTCTGCGGCATCAACCTGGTCATAGCAGAGGCGAAAAACACAGTGTTGAAGAAAGTGGCCTTCCAATAAATGCATCCACAGTCAGACCATGCGTGACTCATGAGATCAAAGGCACAGTGCAAGTGTTGAGGTCATTAAACATGAATAGAAATACAGAAATGCAACAGCTCGCATTAAAGGCTTAGCTTGACTTTAAAGCTGAGTGATGAAAGCTTCTATAGTCAGCAATTGTTTGCCTGTGATAAAGGTTTGCTCTGGCCTTCAGTGGTTCTGGGCTTTACAAAGGTGAGCCAGAATAATTAATCATTTTTTCAGATATAACACCAAGGCTTGGAGCAGCCAGTGACATGGGCCAAGTGAAAATGGGCTCAGGGATGTTCAGCATCAGCTCTAGGGAAAGGCAGAGTGGTGCAAAAGGCCCACTGAAAATTCAGCCCTCAGTCACCAACTCTACAGTTAACAGCTGAGTGAGGACTGTGTGAGGCTCTATCAATGACATAGCATCGATCGAGGGCACCAGCACGGGAAGGTGTTGGGGCAAGGCTTCTATCAGCCCCATCCTGGCATTCTATGCTAGCTTTAGGAGAACTCCTTCAGAGATGGTCTCTCTTTGATGGCTCTGCTGCTGTGGTTGCTGTGTATGTTACGATATTCCTGCGTGTACCAGCACCCAGCATAGGAGATGCTTCCTGGTTCCTATTGCAGTGGCTGATTGTAGCCTTTGCAGTTCTTGAGCAACTATGAAAGAAGCTGTGCTAAAAATCGTAGGGGGGGATCATAGGAAAGATCTATTAGAAAACAGCCCCCTTGCTGTGTTTATTATCTCACTTTGGTTTGAGATACAGCTATGTTGTACGGTTTCTGGGATATTCTGATGTCACAGAATCCCTCCTCTGCAGCATAAGTTGATGAGAGCCTTGAGCCACCTGGCATCGTGTTCTGCCTGTAGGTGTGTATCGCTGCCCGAGCCACTGCTCTGCTGGGTGCTTTGCAGGCAACTCTGAGCAAATACCAGCACCGCAACGGGAAACGTAACTGTTTGTAACCATGTGGGCAGGTGGCAGAGATCCAGCCCAATGCTGAGCATCCTTTGCTTGGAAAGGAGGGACAGCGCCAGCTCTGAG